AGTCACTCCGAAGACCCATATAAACTATATAAAATATATATAAACTAACCTTTTTTAACACATTTTCATAGAATTAATAGGGTTAAACAATTTATTCATACATCTAATGGGCGCACCTCAACTTTATTTAGCGACTGTATGTATAAAAGAAACCGACAATGATTTAACAAGAGCTGTAGGAATTGTTCAGGCACATTTGTAAGTATAATAAGGCTAAATAAAATAATGATTTCTTGTAATATACGTATTACTTTAGTGTGTATCTCCTTACTGACTAGAAGAAACTTAATTGAAATAATAGTTACTTAAGTAAAATTTCAACTATTTTTATGTTATAAATGACGAACAATTTGGGATTCGTAAAAATATTTGTGTTTTATTTCTATGGTATCTGTGATGTGCTTTTAAATAAAACTCTATTTACTTACCTCAATTGGAGTTAATTTTTTTAAATTTTTGATAAATGATGTTTGGATGCCTTATTTGGTTTCGATTATTACTCGAAAGCCATGTTAAGTTAAATTACGGGCTTTCTGAGCAACAATCAAAATTATATAAGGGTCCGTTTGGCTGATTGGTTATTATTTTTATTTTACAATCTTTTGTTTTGTTCTATGAAGAGGAAACACGTCAGCACGGTGTGAGTGCTGCACTGGAACTGCACTTCTGATGCGAATGCTGTAACGTTGTCTGCTGTGGCTCTGGGCCTGTGATCCTTGTAATGCGTCGTGGACAGCAGCACGAGCTATAGCTACTTTACGAATGCCCATTCGTTATGTAAGACGGCAGCAACAGCAACAACAACCCCGTGCGAGTGTTGGCCTGTTTACCATTCAGCTCTTTGCCCGTGCGGCGTATACGTAATCACAGCACTCGGCTGTTGCTGCTGTTGGGGCCGACCAATGAGCGTCAAACCTTGATATGGTATTGCATGCATTTACTTGACGATCTGCGCAGGCGTAAATTATATAGTTGTTGGTTGGGCCTATTCCGTTCCTATTTTCGAATAGACGTATGCAACGCCCCCCATAGTGTGGGATTTCTAAATAAAATTTAAAATGTTTATAGTTGTTTAACTATTTTTGCAAGACTTAATAATGAGTCTTGCAGCTGATGAAATGAAACCAAAGTTTTTGGTTAATGAATGACATATTTTAACTCGACTTACATTATAGATTTTTAAGAGTTTTGAGGGACATTATTAGTTATTTCCAAATTGTTGATATTTGGGGTACCAAAAAGTAAAAGTTTCAGACCGTTTTTGCAAATAGAAATATGATAATGAAATTGAAACGCATACTGAAAAGAAAAAGAAAAAATTTCAGGCATGACCGACAATATTATATACGATTCTGTCAAAAATCGGTTTAATTTTTTTTGCCCTAATATTAGTAGGCGTTCGTTATAGAAAAAATTTAAGGACTGTGTCAATATTTGTCGACTTTTCCATCATTTCATGAATGAATATATAATTGTAAAAACTACAATATTTGTACAATTTGTACTGTGAACAGCCCGAAATCGTTTAATTCCAAATTGCTTTTGCTCATGAATGTCCAATTTAATTAAGCAACATATATATAGTTGTAATCGTGAACCTCTGACAATCAAAATATATTAATAATAATAATCAATATCAAATTTATCTCAATAAGGAGAGCAAAATACTGTAATAAGCCCCAATGCTCTCACACATGCTTTACATTTAACACATTAGAATTCAGCTGTTTGATTGACAGAAACATTTGATTCGGTATATTGTGATTGATAAGCTGTTGACACGCTTTTAGAAGGCTTCCCTGCCTGTGTTGTTGTGTCTAATCCCTTCGTATCGTATGAGTTTTACAATTAAACATTTATATATATATGTATACGAGGAGGAACATTATAAAAACTGAAACCCACACAAATGCCCAAATGCAATGTGAATTGCATTATTGATGACTACAAGTTTAGCGAACGGCCAAAAGGTTTCAATATGCTAATTACTTCTCTTCTTCGAATTACATTTGGAATAGAAATACAATAACAATAATAACAATAACTACAATAGCTGCCACCTCCAGCTAATGATGTAGCTGTAACAGCATTTGGCTGCAATTTCCCCAGCGACTTGAGTGGAAGCTAACAAATGCCAAAATCTAT